GCTTCATCTCCTGCTTCTCTCTCAGAAGCACATGGCGAGGGTGAGCCATGCACCCGCTCCATCTGCAGGCCCCGGTGTGGCCCCGGGTTCTGCAGACGTGAGGTTCGCAATTTGCTTCTACTGACAAGCAGCCCTGGCATCCGGGTGGGCACCTTCCTTCGGAAAGCCGCCCGGGGCCCGCTCCCCCTCTGACAAGGGAACGAGGAGATCAGCCAGAATCGAACCGTGACCTCATGGTTCCTGGGTTGACGCTCAGCCCGCGAGCCACGCCGTTCGGGCCTCTCTCACATTCTCACTTCACCTCCTGCTTCTCTCTCAGAAGCACATGACGAGGGTGAGCCATGCGCCCGCTCCAACTGCAGGCCCCGGTGTGGCCCCGGGTTCTGCAGAGGCCCCATCGTGGAATCACGCATCCCGGTGGGGGCGGGGGGGGTGGGGGCGTGCGCAGAACCACACATAAGCCCCACCTCAAAGCTGCAGGAGAGCTCAAGGCACATGGCCTCGTACTGCCTCAGCTCCTCTTCGGGCCGGTCAAGTCCAGGTTTGGAGCTCAGCTTGTTGACGTCTGTTTCCAAGTCATCGTCCTGCAGGGGGACATTCAAGACACGTGTCACCACCGAGAAAGCCACCCTGAGAGACATGGGGACGGGATGTATACGGGACCCTTCACAGCCCTGGGTCATGGTGCCCTTGCCCCCGAATTACAGTGCGGGCCCACGCAAAGGACAGTTTAATGGGTCGCGTTGTTTTTTAAAAACAAAGAAAGAGCCTGGTCGGTGTGGTGGCTACGTGGTTGAGTGTCAACCTATGAGCCAGGAGGTCACGTTTCGATTCCCAGTCAGGGCCCATGCCCGGGTTGTGAGCTCGATCCCCAGTGTGGGGCATGCGGGAGGCAGCCGATCCATGATTCTCTCTCATCATGGGTGTTTCTAACCTCGCTCTCCTTTCCTCTCAGAAATCAATAAAAAAAACATTTAAATATTTATATTCTTGATCCAGGGGAGTCGGGAACGGGGAAGGAAAAGAAATGCAATATTCCATCCATCTTCCACAATTTTCCTCCAAACCTCAAATTAAAAGAACAAAGACAGATCCTGTGCAGGAGACATAATGGTATTTTCCGATGGGGTACACACCAGGCCCACACTCTGCAGCCCGGTGGTGGGGCTCCCAGCTTTATCTCTCAGGCCCTCCTGGCATCCACCATCTGGCCCAGGCTGGCACCCACGGCAACACAGCTGGGCAAGCGCTGGGAAGTGAGGTCAGAGTGAAGAGAGACTTGGGCCCCAGCTGGTCCTTGCCCGTCAGATACACGAGTGGCTGCCACTCTTCATCAGACGGCCAGTCCTCCGGGAGCGGGCGTGAGGGGAGGGGAAGGTGGCATTGATGGATGGCTGCGGCGGCACGGCATTATTCAAATAATGCGGCGCGGACTCCGAGTGCCGCACTGCCGAGCTACAGCAAAGAACCAATTTTCCACCGATGACTTCAGAAATGATTCTATTCATCAGTGAGACCCGGAGAACACCGGAGTGTCAATGGCAGCCTTCACCTGCGGACCTGGCTAAGAGGGGGTTCTTATAGGTCAGCTACTGTCATCAGCAAGGTGAGTGATCGCTATATAGAGAACTCAGAAAGCCTCCTGCTCTCTAAAGAGACAGGTGGGCAGACCAATAGGTAAGAAAAAAGAAAGGGAGGAAGAGGGGATGGATAGATGGATGGATGGATAGATGCATGGACAGATGCATAGATAGATAGATTAGAGTATAGATGGATGGGATGGATGGACAGATGCATAGATAGATAGATAGATAGATAGATAGACAGATGCATAGATAGGTAGATAGAAGTATAGATGGATGGGATGGATGGATAGATAGATAGATAGATAGATAGATAGATAGATGCATAGATAGGTAGATAGATAGAGGTATGGATGGATGGATGGAAGGATGAATGGATGGACAGATGCATAGATATATGGATGGATGGATGGATGGATAGATAGATGCATAGATAGATAGATAGATAGATAGATAGACAGATAGATGATAGATAGAGGCATAGATGGATGGATAGATGGGTAGATAGGTGTATAGATAGATAGATAGATATGTGTGTGTGTGTGTGTGTCCTCTGGAGGCCTGCCTCCAGCCGCACTGTAAAAACTCGGAGCAGGTGCCCCTCTGTGTTGATCTCTCAAGCTCAGGTGGAGCCCGGCCTCTCCTCCTGAGCTGGTCGAGACCGTGACAGAGTCTCAATCTCATTTGCATCATACATAGATAGATAGATAGATAGATAGATAGATAGATAGATAGATAATGTTTAAATCCAGGTTTTATATCCAGGAATGTCTTAAAAGGTAGCATTTACTTCTCAGTCTTATTTTGAGGATGACAAAATTAAGGAACTATCTCTTGAAGGGCTTGTCCAAGTTAAAGTCTACCAACACAAATGAACACAGAATTAATAACCCTAGATAAAAGTTACCATTACTATAGAGCAGTGGTTCTCTAGAACTATCTCTTGAAGGGCTTGTCCAAGTTAAAGTCTACCAACACAAAGGAAGACAGAATTACGACTCTAGATAAAGTTACCATTACTATAGAGCAGTGGTTCTCTAGTCAGGGGTGATTTTTCCCCACGAGGGACATTGGGTCCTTCCTGGAGACATTTTGGTACATGATGGGGTGGGGAGGGAGGGGTGATGGGGGGGGGCGGGTGCCATCTAGTGGGTGGAGGCCAGGGATGCTGCTAAACATCAAACACTGCCCAGGATCAGCCCCCTCCACAAAGAACTGTCCAGTCACATGCCCACAGAACCACAATTTAGAGACACTTTCCTAGTCTGGCCGACGTGGCTCAGTGGTTGAGCATCAACCCAGGAACCAGGAGGTCTCAGTTTGATTCCCTGTCAGGGCACATGCCCCATTTGCCGGCTCCACCCCGAGTAGGGGGCGTGCAGGAGGCAGCCGATCCATGATTCTCTCTCATCATGGATGTTTCTATTTCTCTCTCCCTCTCCCTTCCTCTCTGAAATCAATAACATTATGTATTTTTTTTAAAAAAGAACAGCAGCTGTCATTTATTGAGCAAAACAATCTGCCAGGCACCGGGCAGAAAGACAAAAGTAAGTCCTTAAAATTCACACTGGTATTAGCGGACGACCGGCAGTGATATCTTCCCTGGTCCGCCGTGAACATGGGGATCGCTAGAAGCAAGGGCCGGTGTACCTACTTCCTCTTTCGCATCTTCAGAATCGGAGTCTCTGTCCTCTTCTCCGTCACCATCATCTTCGAAGTCCTCTGGGTGGGGAAAGGGAGGGCAAGTGGGTGAGGCTGGCCCTTTGTCTTGGGTTTGGATCAGCATGTCTTCCCCTGACGAATCAGGAGCTCAGGATGGAGGGCACGCGACCCCCACGCACCCCAGGGCTCACTCAAGGCCTGTGAGACCATGAGCAGTGCCGGGTGTCTACACTGCTGTCCCACTCATTTTATTCTGCACGCATTTTGCAGGATAAAATGACACAGGCATATCATGCTGGCTTCCCCACCCTTGCCAAAGGTCACCTCCATGCAAAATGTGTTGCAGTGTGATCGGCTCTCTAATTTTGATATGAAGGAGCTTCTTTGAAACACAAGTCCAGAGACACAGCCAGTGGAAAAGTATCGATTCCATCCCGGCCGGCATGGCTCAGTGGTAGAGTGTCGACCTCTGAACCAGGAGGTCACTGTGCGATTCCAGGTCAGGGCACGTGCCTGGGTTGCGGGCTTGATCCCCAGTAGGGGGCATGCAGGAGGCAGCCGATCCATGATTCTCTCTCATCATGGATGTTCCCATCTTTTCTCTCCCTCTCCCTTCTTCGCTGAAATCAATACAAATATCTTTAAAAAATAAATAAAAACTCGCTGTAAAGCTCACAGACACCCACTTACTTTACCTTCAGCGAGACGGCGTGGGGGTTCCGACGGGAGGTGCCCGGGGGCGGGGAAGGCGTAGGCACTGCTGGCCGTGACCAAGGGAAGGGGGCTCTTGGGGTAGCACTGCCTCAGGACCTGAAGCGCGACGGAGTGACTTCTAAATAAATGTGTGATGCTCTTCTGTTCCTATTTGAAAATAAACATTGGGGAGAATGAACAATAAGAGAAAACAAGATGAGAAAATGTTACTGGAGGCAGGAAACTAGATAATCTCTGAATCTTCTATGTGGCTGAAATAGGAGGAGGAATGGGATGTGACTAGCTCTCCAAAAGAAGGCAGTGCTGGCTGTGTGCTCAGTTGGTTGGCGTGCCC